TCACTCACTGTGTTCCCATGACGGGCTGAGCCATAGACCCTGAAAAATGTGCAGGGAGCAAAGATAATAAAGGGTCTGGGGGCTAAATCGTATGACGAACGGTTGAGAACCGCTGATCTAGCCTATAGAAGAGAAGGATCAGAAGAGAAGACTTGGTCACCGTCTTCCAGTACTCGAGGGATTATCGCTGAGAAGAGGGGATTGACTTATCCCAGAGGGCAGGACAAGAAGTAATGGATAGAAGCTTGTTACAGAGACATTCAACCTCCTGCCACAAAGAACAACTAATCAATGGAATAATTTGCCTCCCAGAGTTGTGATTGTTCTGTCACGGGAGGTTTTCAAGAAAAGATGGGACAGCCATTGGTCCGGGATGTTGTAAGGACTTCTGCCTTGAGGAGGGGGTTGGACTAGAAGACCTCTGAGGTCCTCTCCAGCCCTATGGGTCTATGTTCTATGTAGATGGACTTGCTCCCTCTTCTCCTCGCTTCCTCCTTCCCATAGGACCCTTGGGATGGCAGAACCCTCCAAATATAGATTGCTTGTTTCAGGTTGGATTCACGTGCCATGGAGGCTTGGGCACGCCAATGTGTAAACGGGGCTTCCCAGCTCTGCGTGATGCTGATTCTCAGTCCTTCGGCTGAAAGCCCCCAGCAAGCAGCTCCAGGGCTCTCTGGACCCAGAACCTGATGCAGCCCCCTCCTGCCTCTTTTTCCACCCCGTTGTTCACTTCCCCTAAAGCACTCTGTGGGCAGTTGCCAGGGTCCACAATCGGGGGGGGGGGGGTTGCTGACTGTGGCTGCCTCCAGAGCCATTTGGTGACCGGCCAGCCCCACATCCTGCCTTTCTCCCTCTGCCTGCACCAACTCCAAGGTTGGGCCTCCCGGAGCACCCCCTGAATTGCCAGAGTGCTCTTATTTCACCCGAATGAAATGCTTGGGTGCCAGGCTCCGTTGTTTGGCTTGGCACACAGGCCTTGCCCTATGTTCTCATTATTACGCAGTTTTGCTGTCCCACATGGCTGCAGCGCACAGAGGAGGTGGGGGCACCAGACAGAGCTGCAGGCAAGGCAGGGCACCCCACTTCTCCTGCTTTTCCTTCCTTCCTTCTTTCCTTCCTTTCCTTCCTTTCCTTCCTTCCTTCCTGATTTCTTTTTCTTTCTTTCCTTCCTTCCTTCCTGGTTTTTCTTTCTTTCCTTCCTTCCTTCCTTCCTTCCTTCCTTTCCTTTCCTTCCTTCCTTTCCTTCCTTCCTTCCTTCCTTCCTTCCTTCCTTTCCTTCCTGATTTCTTTTTCTTTCTTTCCTTCCTTCCTTCCTGGTTTTTCTTTCTTTCCTTCCTTCCTTCCTTCCTTCCTTTCCTTCCTTCCTTTCCTTTCCTTCCTTCCTTCCTTCCTTTCCTTCCTTCCTT